TCTGTTTTAATTTAATTGAGAAGGCATGGCGGATTACCGCCCGCCACTTGATCCTGTTAAATGGTATCAGAGCCTAGGTACTTTCATGGTATATATAAGATAGATATGAAATATTCGACATAGATATGTTTCTGAAATATGGATTTAGGAGAAACTAGTATGAAAAATACTAGATTGGAAGAGGTAGATATACCTCAAAATCTTGATTTGTTAAACAAATGGACTATTCCTGAAGTCCCTATTAGAACAATCTATGATTATGGATGGTTTGATAAACTTTCTTCTAAACAACTGAGCAATCTTTAGCTTTAAATTCGTCTGAACAGACTATTCGTTTGTTAAACAAGCATGATGTAGATGTTTATAAACACCAGTATAATTATTTGCATATTGGTATGGTTCAAATTGCTTTTAAGCCTTTAACCCTTAAAGGGTTACCAGAGACATTTTTGGCTGCTCTCAGAGATGCCAGAAATTTGAATTTTAAACAGTCTCTGATGGGTTCTATTGAATCTACTGTTGCCTACGGCCCAGTATATTTTAATACTCAACCCAATATGCAATTATCTCTATCTGATGTTAATATACTTGATGCATTAACATTAAATGTGAAAGCGCATGGTTATAATTATGCGCCTGGTTTTGAACTTATATGTTTATCGTATAGGATTTATTTTAAATTACTATCTACATTAAACCCAAGATGTAAATTATATGATACATCTGATCAGACCATATTAGTATAAATGAATTTTGCAAAGTCTAAGGTCACCACGAGGAGACCTATTAAGTGGGAAGAAATTAATTTTCCAACTACATGGACTTTGGATTCGGTTATATCCCCAAATCAGATAACTAATGCTGTCAGTAATACTGAGTATTCTCATATTACTCAAAATCCAGATGGAAGGATTTGCATTCAGTTTGATGATAATAGTTCTACTTATAGTAGACAGTCATTTTCTAATAATAGATTGTTGCATGTTATTAGTTCTAATTATAATAGACATTCTTTTACTAGTCGTAGACTGTTGCCTGATATTCAACACATCTCTCCTGTTGAACCAGTCTATGGACCAGCTAGAAATCGTGCTGCATCTCTACACACAATTTCTACTAAAGTAGGTGATAAACCTGTTGAAAGGGTTAAGATTAACCCCAAGACAAATATTGTGCAGGATAATGATAATACTTCTGATAAGGATATTCTTTCTGCGTCCGAGATGGATTTTGACCCAAATGATGTTTAAATGATTCTACACCAAATTGATTTTAGTCCAGGGTCACAAGCTAGAGGTTATATCCAAAAAGAATTTTTCAGTGATAAATGGAACCGGTTTAAAACTTAGTTTTTTGATACTTATTATAAAGAAGATTTAAACAATATTACTCAAGAATTTTATGAAACTTGTGCTTTACATAATCAAATTATGTATTTTGTTCCTTGGTTTATAACCACATATTTACCACTTTTTATAAAAGTTTTAGAAAGATCTTATAAAGACGGGAGTGGCAATATTACTAAAACCATTTACCCTCCTCAATCACCTTTTGTTTTACCTAATAATACAGGTATTACTTTCACTGCATTTCAAAAATTTATTGATGAAGATGTTACTGTAGTCAGCATCGCAGATTAGTTGAGCTTATATGTTAAAGTTTTGGGAGAACAGATTAGTTTTCTTGATAAAAAACTTGATGATTTAACAGCTTTGATAAAAGAAATGAGTACTAGCAAGAAAATAACTGATATTGCCTCTACTTCAGGAAGCAAATCAGAACCTCAAATTGTTTTTACTCATATTCAAAGGCCTCCTGAGATTCAGGATTTTAAATTTAAATCTTTTAATGATTTAGAACTTCTTGATAAAAAGTTATCCGGTTTAAATATCAAACCCATTGATTTATCAAACGATTTTGCTGATAAATTAGATACTACTTTTAACTATAAAAAGGATGTTTTGTCAGAGTTTAATAAACTCAGAAGTTACCCCAAAAAGAATAGTAAATTTGCAGATAGCAGATACGCTGATAAACTCAGAATGCAAACTTATTATTATAATCGTCCAACTCCTCAAGATGTTTTAATAGAGGAACGTGATTGGAATCAGACTAATACGTCTTACAGTGGTTCCGAAATTTACGAATAGAATCTTGATGGATTAACTGATAGACAATTGACAATCCTTGTACATAGAATACTTATGTATGCAACTATCTGTAAAAGTGTAAAAAATACAGATAGAAATATCTGCAGAATGATTGTTGCAGGTTTTACTGGCCAACTTCGTGGTTGGTGGGATAATTATTTGACTATCGAAGAAAGAGCAATGGTTATTAATGCTCAAGCCACTGAAGAAGGAGTTGATAACTTAGGAATGGCCCTAGTAGCAAATAGAGAAGATGTTGTTTATACTCTTATTCTTACTATATTAGAACACTTTAACGGTAGATTTACCAACCAGAATGAGACTGTCCGTACTCTCCTTAATGGCCTTAGATGTAGAACCTTAAGTGAGTTTAGATGGTATAAAGACACTTTTATGAGTAGAGTGATGGAACTACCAGAAAATAAGGTTGAACATTGGAAAGCTAAGTTCATAGATGGCCTTCCCTCTTTATTTGCTGAAAGAGTTAGAAAGATTTTAAGAGGTAGTTATGGTGAAATCCCATACAGAGACTATACCTATGGTAAGTTGATAGGAATTTCCACACAGGAAGGATTAAACCTGTGCAATGAGTTAAGATTGTCCAGACAGCTTAAGATGGATAAGCTTAAGGAAAAATCCCAGTTAGGAGATTTTTGTACCCAGTTCGGTCTACCCGAAACTTCTACTCATAAGAAGAAGAAACATAAGTATCATAGATACCCCAACCAAGACAGTTTTTATAGGAGAAAGAGATCTAGATATAGATCCAAAGAGGAACGAGAAGCTAAGAAAGCCTATCGCAAGTCTACTAGATTTACCAAAAATAGGTCTAAGAGAGATCTTGTTGACATTAAGTGTTATAAGTGTGGTAAATTTGGCCATATAGCCCCGAATTGTAAGCTTCAAAAGTTGAAAACCTTAGAACTAGACAATGAGTTACGTGATAAGGTTTATAGTCTGTTATACACTTCTGGATCAGAATCTGATTATTATTATTCTGAGTCGGAATCCGAAGTTGAAGTTGATTTACTTGATTTATCTGATAGTGATAAAAATATTGATAATACTTATACTGCTTGCAATAGTAATACATGTACTTGTGAAGATGGTGAATTTTATAAATTGCAATCACAGTTTCAAGATTTGAACATGAAAACTATTACATCTGACAATGTAATAGAACTTTTAAAAGAAGTTACTGATGAAAAATTTCATGAAAAAATTATTAATTTGGCTGCTAGTTCAAGTTCTAATTCAAGTTCTAGTTTTGCAAAACCTTTTGAAAAAGAATTTGAATATTCCCCGCCTTATTCTTTACTAGAGGTTAATAACCGTCTTTTAAACAAAAATGCAACTCCAGCAAGAGATTCTTCTTTCAATGATTTAAAGGTTGAAGTTAAAAACTTGAAACGAGAGATCAAATCTCTTAAACAAAATCAAATGATTTGCGATCATATGATTACTCAGATTGAGAAAATCAATTCTCCAGCTGAGAAATCTAATGATAAAAACAAAGGTATTTCTGAAAATGATATTGAAGAAAAACCTATTAGTTTTAATCCTAAACATGATATGTTTTTAGGAATGATGTAAATTATTACTGCTCATAAATGGTATATCAAATGTAATCTCATTGATAATAGTTTTTCAATTACAAACATTACCATGATTGATAGTGGAGCAGATGTTAGCTGCATTCAAGAAGGTTTAATACCTACGAAATATTTTCAAAAAACTACTCATATGGTTAGATCTGCCTCCGGACATGCTTTAGATATAAAGTATAAGCTTCCTAATACGGATATCTGTCAGAATAAAGTCTGTATTCCTCACTTCTTTTTCTTGGTAAAAAACCAGNATTGCCATGATTGATAGTGGAGCAGATGTTAGCTGCATTCAAGAAGGTTTAGTACCTACGAAATATTTTCAAAAAACTACTCATATGGTTAGATCTGCATCCGGACATGCTTTAGATATAAAGTATAAACTTCCTAATACGGGTATTTGTCAGAATAAAGTCTGTATTCCTCACTTCTTTTTCTTGGTAAAAAACCAGTTATACCCTCCAATTATACTTGGAACACCGTTTATTAACGCCGTTTATCCTTTTACTAGCATAGACTCGAAAGGTTTTACTGCTACTTATAAGGATAAAGAGATAAGTTATACTTTTGTTACAGATCCAGTAACTAGAGATATTAATGCTTTAATTGATATGAAGCAAAAACATGTTGATTCTTTACAATTAGAAATGTTTAGTATGAATATATTTGATACTCTGAATTCTACTAAAGTACAGGAAAAAATCAAATTGATTTCCGAGCAGATTGCTGTTGATATTTGTGCTGAGCATCCTAGTGCTTTTTGGAATCGAAAAAAGCATATTGTCACTCTTTCATATGAAGATAATTACTCTGAGGATGATATTCCTACTAAATCTCGACCTTGTCAGATGAACGTAGAATTGGTAGAATTTTACAAAAAAGAGATTGATAGCTTGCTATCAAAGGGTTTGATAAAACCTTCAAAATCTCCTTGGTCTTGTACAGCTTTTTATGTTAATAACGCAGCTAAAAAGGAACGTGGTGTTCCTAGATTGGTCATTAATTATAAGCCCTTGAATAAATATTTAAAGTGGGTTAGGTATCCTATTCCTAATAAAAGAGATTTATTGTCTAGATTATATGATGCTAATATATTTTCAAATTTTGATTTAAAATCTGGATTTTGGCAGATTCAAATATTTAAAGAGCATACTTATAGAACTGGTTTAAATGTTCCATTTGGGCAATATGAATGAAATGTTATGCCTTTTGGTCTGAAGAATGCCCCTTCAGAATTCTAAAAAATTATGAATGATATTTTCAACCCCTATCTAGACTTCATCATTGTTTATATCGATGATATTTTGGTATTTTCCAAAACACTTGAAATGTATATTAAGCATTTAGACATCTTCAAAAGAATTGTTATACAAAATGGTTTGGTTATTTCAAAACAAAAAATGAGTTTATTCCAAACTAACATTCGATTCTTAGGACATTATATTTGTCAAGGAAACATTACTCCTATTCAAAGATCGATAGATTTTGCCTCAAAATTTCCCGATGTTATTACTGATAGAACTCAGTTACAAAGATTTTTAGGAAGTTTAAATTATATTTCGCCTTTTTATAAAGATTTGTCGCGTGATTTAGCCCCCTTATGTGATAGGCTAAAAAAGAATTATAAAAATTCTTGGACTGATAGTCATACTACTTTGGTTAAAAATATTAAGCAACGTGTTAAATCTTTAACTTGCTTAACTCTTGCTAATCTTGCATGGCAAAAGATTATAGAGAATGATGCGTCTAATATTGGTTACGGAGGGATTTTGAAACAGATAAATCCCAATAATAAACATGAATATCTGATTAGATTCTACTCTGGTAAATTGTCTGAAGCCCAGAGAAAATACGCTACTGTGGCACATGAAATGTTAACCATAGTAAAATGTGTTTTAAAATTTCAGGACGACTTATACAATCAAAAGTTTTTGATAAAAACTGACGCACAATCTGTTAAATATATGTTTAATAAAGATTTTAAACATGATGCCTCAAAAATGATATTTGCAAGATGGCAAGCTCAATTAGCCCCTTTTGATTTTGAAATACAATATAAAAAGGGAATTGATAATTCTCTGCCAGATTTCTTATCTCGTGAATATTTACAGGATGGAACCCCCCTGGGGTAGGGGAAGAGGTAGAGGTTGGGGAAGATCATCCCCACAGTCCAAAGGAAGGTCATCACCTTCGGGATCGTCATACGGATCCTCATCAAACTCCCCAGTTATACAAATGGGAAGAAGGAGTTTAGTCAATGAGAGGATATCTCTCAGAGAAGAATCATCGATCGGACCATCCGTCCATCTGGAAGATATTCCAGAAGATAGTCCGTTATACGCATATTTGCAGGCATATTTGACTGCTCAAAAATAGAAAGATACTTCTGCCAAACAAAGTGATACTTTTGCTTCCATTACAAAAGATGACAATGATGATATCAAGTCATATGAGAAAGTTTCTAAAAAAGAAATGATATTTCTTTTAGAAAATTCTGACATTCAGAGAAAAGAAGAGCCGTGGAAGATATTCCAAAGGTATTTAATAAATGGGTTATATTATCTGGGTGAGTCATACGAAACCCGTTCCTATTATAAAACAATACTAACCAGTACTGGCAGTGCAGATTTTCAGTACTTTTCTGGGTATAGCACAGACGAGAACGTTTATAACTTCTCAAAGATTATAATTAAACATATTATATCTGTTGAAGACTGGGGTATATCCACAATAAAAGAAAGGCAGATAAGCCTTAACAAATCTAGAATGAATTTTACCTATTGGGATTATATCAGGCATTTGATAAGNTTGGGATTATATCCAGGCATTTGGTAAAGTGTTATACTACAATAATGATCGTCACAAACATACTTGGTTTATTAAAGTATATGCAAAGATTTTTGCAGAGGCTGTTCCTAATTGGTTTTTGAACTGGTGGTCATACCACGGCCCGACAGTAAAAAATTTACCAGATCCATTTCTCAGGTTATACAAAGAATGGATAAAAATTTTCCCTTTTATAAACAACTTATATCACACGGATCATATCTGTTACTCAGATAAAATTAACCAGATTTATTTCTTTCTGGAATTCTCTATTCCCTGGATTCACAAATGGACTCCAGAAGTCAGATTCACCGAAGAACAAGTTCCATGCTTATACAGGATTTTTTACAACAATTTTTGGGATAAACTAATGAAGAAGGATCCCAAAACAAAGACATTATATGGTCAAGAACTCTTGGATTCAATCAAAATAAAAATTCAAGAATATTCCAGCAAACCTCAGAAAGAGGTAATTAATGACAGTTCAGTGAGGCATATTGCCAGAAGGATTTCCTTTCAAGAAGGAGATAGAGCAGAGATGATTAACAACTACTTGGAAGAGGTCAAAAGAAATTTACTTCATTCCATTAATCAATATGAGAAATCAGACACTTCTATGCAGAGTGAAACCAGCAACGATGATATCGCTGAAGATTCTCAACCCTTTGAATCAGAGAAAATACTGTCTGATGATGATTTGCATAATGCAGAAGAATTCATCCGCAAAATGAAAGAAGCGGAAAAGAGACCAGCACAGTGAAACACAGGTGGACCCCACTCAAACAGTGAAGCCGCCGGACCCACAGCACAGTAAAGCCGCCAGACCCCACTCAAACAGTAGATACACTGTTCATCAACAATAGATACACTGTTTCAACAGTAGAAACACTGTAATAGGGACCCACGGGACCCACTTTTTACTTTTCATAGATTCCTTTCTTTTTCTATTTATAGGATTCATTTGTTTAGAAAGAGGAAGCAGAAGTCGAGACCCTCTCTCTCTAAAACTCTCTCTCTCTCTCTCTAAAGTTGTAAGTAAGAGTTTATAGCTGGTAGCTTGTAATAGAAGAACAAAGTAAATTAAGAGTTTTCAGTTCTTCATCTTCAGGCCTTGCATCNTCTTATATCGATATACTATATATACATCTTATATATATCTTATATACTATATATACATCTTATATACTATATATTCATCTTATATACTATATATACATCTTATATACTATATATATTCGAATATCTATACATCTTAGATATTTATTTTAACATCCTTTTGTCTCTAATATCTATTTATTTATTTTAAAAAAAATATTGGGCCCACTTAGCCCGTTTAGCCCGCGGCCCGGGACCGTTTAGCCCGGGACCAAACCGTCCCTGTCCCGGGCCGGTCCTTAGAAAAAGTCCGCTTAGGTCATGGCCCGTTTAATTTGGGCCCTCCCCGGAACCGGGTCCGGGATCGTTTGGACCGGCCCACTTGGCCCGTTTAGGCCCGGGACCGGCCCACTAGCCAGCCCTAGCTGCATCTAGGGAACAAGGTCCTAGGATCATGCCCTTCTTTAATGTCAATTATGAGAGCCATTGAAGAAGGTGTAACAGTGAGCATAAATGACAAATTCTCCGTAACGGGGAAGGTACTAAATGTTGTGAAATATTCTCCATTAAATGCTACCGGTCGGAGGGTATTTATTGCATCTTTACGAGTGTCATTCTTTCCGGTGACAAACGGGACAATTGCCTTCGATTTTAACTATCCCCCGCCTTAGGCTCCACGTGTCACTCTCTTAAGCGGCCACTTAGCATAGCATATTTTACCCTATACAGATAGTCCCCCTGCTTTCCGGTGACATAACTTTGTGTCACCGAAAAGTTGGTAGAAACACTTTTTTTGGTCAGAATTACTATGATTCCCTCTAAAAAGCTTCTAACGGTTGATTAGACGCACGTCTCTCCGCATTTAATGCCCCGAACTCGCGTCATCCCATGATTCAGCATAACTTTTGCCGGTTATCGAGGTAATCATGTCCACGAATTTAGCCGACTAAACCTTTGCCTGTATGCATTAGCCTCCTTCATTCATACTCCATAATTTTCCAAACTCTCTAAAACTCTCGTTATTCAACTTGCATCCTGTTCTTCAACCTTTCTTTAACTCTCTTCAAACGAAATAACTTTTCCTTCTTCCATAACATATAATGGCTTCTTCTTCAAAAAATACCAGTTCCTCAAAGAAAAAGAACAAAGCCGAGGACGCTGCTCCTCCAACAGTGAGCACAATCATCCCTAGAAGTCTTGTTACAACAAGCGATTTCGAAGAGAAATTTTTTTATGTTAGCCCTCGTACATGGGCCGTTAGCAGGTATCTTTCTTCCATCTGCCCTTCCAGCATTCCTGTTGTGACGAAAGAATTTCATTTCCAGGACTTAGACATTATCTCTCCCGACGTGGCGAAGCGGGTAACCTTACCCGAGAAGGATTTCACGTACTTCTATATGTATCCCTTCACTTTGGGGACGTTTTCTCTGAGTGGAGAGCTTGACTCTGTCATTGAGGAGTTTTGCCTCCGCTACCAAGTGTGTTTTAGCACTGGTGAGTCCCTATGTGTGGAGAACGATTGCTTGCTTTCGACGCCTGTGCCGAGAAACGGGGGAGGAGCTAATTTTAGCTCATGTAATGAACCTTTATTCTCCCAACATCTTCCGTGGGGATGATCAACTTCATCAAGGGGGGCCATTATGCATTTCTATCCAGCATGGATAATGATAATGACTGTGGGTATATAGAACAGTTTGTTTTAGTTGCCACCAGTGACATCATCCCGGCCTCGGCTCTTTCCTTCCCGGAACTGCGAAACTACACTCGTAAGTATACAATCTGCTTCTTTTCTTGTTAAAGATCCTTTCTTCGTCATTATTAACTTTTCTTCCTTTTCCTGCCTCAGCGGCTCGGTGGGTTCCCCCTAGGGTTGAGGGCTTGGACCAATGGGTTCAGAAGATTTTGGACGTTACCACTCCTGAAACCCGCTCGTGGAAAGAGATGTCCCTAAAATACGGGTGAAAGGCCAAAAATCATGGTAAGCTTAACTCATTATGTCCTTAACTTTTCTTATGAGAAAGTTATCTGACTCCTTTCCCTTGTTGAATATAGGTCTACCCAGGGCTCAGTTCGTTGTCCTCGAGGAGGACATTTTGGCCGAACCTACTGATGCGGCAAGGATGCTGTAGAAAGCTTTTTCATAGACAGGCGTCTCCGAGCCTGCTTGTGATGCAAGTGCTTCTTCTCGGAGTCCCCGTTCAGAGAACAAGCAACCAAAAAGAAGGCGTTCTTCTGCGGCTGAGTGGAAAGAATAAGAGGGCGAAGAATGCTGCCCCCAAATCATCTCCGGAAGTCGTGGTAATGAGCCTTCTGCCCGGCCTGGCCATAGATATCGTGATGATTGATGTTGATGGAGAAGCTAGCAAGGAGGGAGCTTCTCTACATAGAAGATGACGACCTTCCTCATCTCAACAGACCGCTCAATCTGTTGAGTTAGTTACACCAACCGAGGGCGATGTCTCGGCGCTCTAGGGGAGTATGAAATGGTGGAAAATGCCAACTCCCGCTTCCGGGTCCAGTCGCTTCGCACGGTATTTTAGGGCTGAGTATCGGGTCCCTTCCGTCTTTGGTTGACGAGCAACCAATAACCACCACTGCGTTTGTCACAGTTGTTTCTCATCCTTCAACGCCATCAGTTTCATCTCTATCTTCACCAACACCAGCAACTGCTACATCATCTCCACCTTCATCAACTCTTCCACCAGCAACTGCTACATCATGTCCACCAGCTGCATCTGTCTGAGAAGAGAGTGTCTTTCTCCCCCATTCCCTAGTTCATGGGAATTTGGGGCAAAACTATGCTCCCCCTCAGAAGATCCACAAATGAGGAGGAGCGTTACTCTCTCAGTCTCTACCGGATGCAATTTGCTATCCCGACCAGTTGAACTTGCAAACTATCTGAATCATTTAGCTTTAGAAAAAGATTGGGAAAAGATACAGGCTCTCTCGGGAGAGTGCTTGTTGAACAATGCCATGCACAACGCCACAGCGGTACATTTTTTACTTCCTTTGTTATTTCTTCTGTTTTTGCTTGAAAATATCCTGAGTTTGCCTTTCTTGTTTTGTAGGACAACTTTCTTGCTTCCGAAGGACTCCACGGGTTGATTCGGGAAAAGGATGGACCTACCTCCACACAGGATCAACTTTTGGCCGAGCGGGAGCAAACTGCTGCTCGCCTCTCAGAATTGGAAGCCAAAACTGCTGAGGCCGTTGTATTGGAGACTCGTTTGCAGCAAAGCGATCAAGAAGTGGTATCCCTTAGCCAAGAGTGGTATCCCTTAACCAAGAGATTGGCCCGTTGAGGGTTAAATTTGACGAAGCTAGGGCCAAATGGGCTGAAGTCCATAATGTCGTTCTTGCTGCAACCGATCACGAGGCTGCCTCTATTGAAATATTGACCAACTTAGAGGCAGTCTTGAACTCCAAAACTAAAGAGCTTGCTGCTGCCTGGGTGAAACATGCCCAGTTAGAGGAGAATTATAAAAAGACTATTGAGCATAATAGGCTCTTTAGCTCAACTGTCCATTACCTCAATGTTAGCCTCAAATTCGTTAAATCCGTCCGGGAAAACCTTTCTGCCGAGGTAACCCAACTCAAAGAAGAACTTAAGCGTCGAGAGGCTTCCCTCGTTGTTGAGAAAATTTATGTTATGTAAAACATGATGAGTAAAACCTTAGAAGAGGATAAAGCGTGTATCATTGACTTTGATGCCGAAACTGCTAAGGCCCGTGAGCTTGAGTTAGCTGCTAAAAGGGGTCTCCTGGAAGAGCCTAATGCTTCCGGTTCTTCCGGTTCCGAAGCTTCGGGAACTGAAGAAGAAACAGACGACGAAGATGTTGAAGTCCAAACTAATGAGTGTCAAGATGTTGAGCCATCGACGAATCTACCCACAACCCCTAGGGGCACGAACACTTCTCTTCCTTCGGGTTCTGGAGATGCAACAGTTTAACTTGTCTTTTCTTTTTCCAACTTTTGTATTTGTTCCTCTTTGGCACATTATTGTAAATATAAATATCTATTTGCTCAAGTATTGCATGAGTCTTTCTTTCATTTGAACCTTTATGCAAGTTTTAATCTTTGCATTTTTTTTTGCTTAAGTGTTTTGTGCAAGTTTTACTATTTGCGTCCTATTATGTAAAGCCTTGGGTGTATTTTTCCCCAAAAGCATTTGGATTTCGGGCACAAATTCTCCTGAAATCAACCATTTATCATGAGGATTTTTATAAGAGAGGGCCCTCTTATATTTACGGTGCTCTTGAAGAGGGCGTCTCATGTTCATTAGGGCACTATCATTTGAAGTACTTATTTAACTTTCAAATGATAAAATCAATTCATCGATCAGACAAGAAACATAATGGAAAATAAAGGCCTTTACTTTATTCCTTCCGTTTTCAAAAAGTACATAAGCATTGGTTATGCTAAAAAGAAATTGCCATTTACAACTTGTTTCTATAGGGCTGGTCGCGCAGTCCCCGGTCCTAATAATACAACTATGTTCCCAGTTTTGGTGTTCTAGTCAACGTGGCAGTCATTGTTGCCATATTCTCATATCATTCCTCCCCAGTGTTCAAATGCGAAGAATGCGAATTGGAACACTGGAAATCTTGCACCTTCGAAGATCCCACTAATAAATTGATAGACAATCTTCAGCTCGGTAACAAACTT